GCAGTTCCAAGCGAGTTAACTCCAGTGTACGCTTGGAGCTTTGCACGGTGTTTTATTGCACGTTTCCTCGCTTGTATTACAGATACATGTGGTCGCGTATTCTAACCTGCATGTTTTTTCCTGTAGTCCTCACTAATAACTCGTATCTCTGCATTATTTGATATTCAAAATTATGTCGTTGTGAAATGGTTTCCTGTAGCTCCCGTCTCATTAAGTGAGACTGCTCATGTACTCGGTTGACACGACTCCACGTTATCTCGTCCCAGCCCGTCATCTTCGTTATTCTTTTGGTTCAGAGCTGTTTTCAATCTTGCTTATCCTTGTCTTCGTCTTTCTTGTCTTCATTGTCTTCATTGTCTTGTCCTCTGTACCATTTCACTGCCTGCCTCAACGACAGGAAAATAGGCAGACTGATGGGTAGAAACAGCGGAATATATATGGCGTACCTGAGGGAAAATTACAAAACAGACTATCTATAGAATACAGCTCAATGAAAAAGCAGCCCCCTCCCCATTCTTTAAATCACCGTGCTCCATCAAAACCCCTCTCCCCAGGCCTAAAAGATGATTTTCAAAGTTAAATGTGATGTCCTCTGTTGATTAGTCCTGACAATTTTTTCTTCATTTCTTTTCTTTTCATTCTCCGACATCAAATCTCTGACTGAGTCTATCGAAATCGTAAGGAAAATTGAACAACTGTGAAAATACGTCTAGAATGTTACCGAAGCAGTAATAGATTCCCATACCGCACAAGGCGATCTCCCTAACTTAACATACAAGTGACAAATTGTTGAAAGGTCAGGCTTACTTCTGATCGTCTGGAAAGTACAACAGCTCCAGTATTGATGGTTCAAAAAAATGCTTCCTCTAAAAAAGAAAGCATGATGTAACGATCAGGAACACCGAAATATATTGATTACTGGGAAATAAAATGAACAGCTAAGGATATCTCGTGGAACTTTCCACGAACGATTTGAGAGAAAAGAAACTAAGGACGTTTCGGAAAATGTACTAACCTGAAGATCTAATAGCACTTTTGGCTGCAAAGACTGCTGCAGTCACGTATCCCTCTTGAAGAGCTGTTGTAGACTGAAAAACGTACGGAACTGGGTCAATTCCAATTCAGTCCAGGACTTAGCATATCAGATTCTTTCTCTGCTCTAGAACCTTTTTTTATCTAGGTCGACATGATCTATAAATTTTAAAAAAGTTGTCAAAGTTCAAGTTCTCTCATTCAAGTAGATTGCGATACCTGATGAATGAAACCCAGGGCCTGCTCGATTTGTTGCTGAATGTGATCATTGATCACCATGTTGCTGATTTTCCCGAGGAGCTGTGCGAGTGACGTCAACGTGATCGTAGAAGTTGCTAAATATTCCATTGTCTTCAGCCTCATCAGCGACTCT